TAATGAAAAGTAGTACTCACCTGAGAATTTCCCTTCGATTTATCAAGGCTTTCATGTATTCTGAAAGCTTCTTCTGCATTAATGCTAAACGGAGCCAGGCTCTTCCCCTCCCCACAGGTGTCCTGTCAAGTCCCAGAGACAAAAATAAAGGCTATCACAAATCAGGCTGCAAGTAATCTCTGCTCCAACTTCCTTCCCTGGAATTTCCTCGCTAGTGTAGACTGTAAGCTAGCTGCTCTTTTCCAGGTCTATGCAAACTGGTTTTCAGTTGGGTCACCAGAATAAGAGCAGGCCATATTCACACAACATGGTAAACCAGAATGCTGGCCTATTACTCATGAGCAGCATCTTTGTCTATGTAGACTTGCTTGGCTCCTCTGGCAGCTGGGTATGGCCACAAAAAGCAGGATATTCACTAGGAAGAAAATGCTTCACCTTATGTCCAACCTAAATCGTTTGCTTGGTGCTTAAAAAAAAACTAATGAATTTTAAATCCACTTTTATAGCTATAGACCTGGCTCACGGTGACATAAGTAAAGCTAAAGCCTCAGTGCAGACATAATGCTAAACCAGGACTCTAAATGAAGAGAAAAAGAGACAGAAAACCCCAGAAACATGAAATATCAACCACCACTCAACTGGAAAGTGCAGACATAATGCTAAACCAGGACTCTGAATGAAGAGGAAGAAAAAAAAGCCACAAGAAGCATGAAACATCTACCACCATTCAACTGGAAAGCAAAACAAAGTCTCAGGATGGGGGAGATGTGTTTTATTCCCTCCAAAAATGTCCACGTGGGAGTGGGAATTTGTAAACCAACAATGGGGAAGTCCTGGCCACTGGGCTCAATCCACCTCATTGGAGTTCCCCAGATGGCTGTATCCCATTCTCAGGTCTCCACTGTTTGGTGGTTTCCTACCTTTTGTATAGTGCCTTTCTTTGTCGAAGGGTGAAAATCCCTCTCTTAAGCTCTATTACTGGCAGTAAGAGCTTGAACTTTCCCACCCACCAGAGGAAAACAGCCACACACATCCCATTTCCCCTAACACAGAATTTTACCAGCAGCTGAAAGGGACTCCCTGTGTCTTTGCTAAACTGCTCTTTTCTACTGAGTCCTTGGTTTATTGTAATCACTCCTGCTAGTGTTAGGAACCAAGCAGCAAAAACTGGGCACTGTATATTAGCACAGTGCTCATACATGATAAAATAGGAAAGGAATAGGAAGGAATCCCAGCTTAATATTTTGTTCTGACGTCAATACAGTATTATTAGTGTAGCCACAAAAAATTATTTGGCAGATTTACAATATCTGCTCTTTTATTTTCCAACCCAATTACTAATCATTCATAAGAGTTAACCAAATTTTCCCACTAGGTGAATAAGTCACAGAAAACTAGAAATTCAGAACCCATGATTCCTCAAATCCTCCCGGACACTTACTAGAGGAGATCAGAATCATCTGTAAGTCAGAACTCCATGATGTCTAAAATTAGGGAACTGTTCGTAATAAAATCTTATCTGGAAGTGGCCAGCCCGTAGTGTCCATACTTTGTTGTATGGAAAATCCAGCATTTTATTTTTCTTAATTCCTGTATAAATAAGAGTCATGGGCCAGAGAACCAGCGGAAAGCAAGGAAAGGGAGGTATATATACAATCCCAAAAGTTAATCCAAAGAAAAAGTGCATTAGCACCTTCTTTGGAAACAGACTCTGACACTGTAGCTGGTTGAGCTTCCAAATTCACACATGCCCCTCATTTTCCACGGCTTCTTTGCACCATGGCTACCACTCCTGCCACCAAGGCATATAAAGTGCAGCATGTGAGTTGTGAAGGAAGACACTTTTTTGTTTCTCCCTACATCACTTTTGGAAGAAGAAAAAAATCTGCTACAAATGGCTATTAGTGCCTCCAGAAACAGTGAGTTCAATTCCTCCCTGTGCCTCTTGGGTGAAAGAGCCAGCCTTTATCGTATGAGGCAAGCAAAGAAGTCCCAGGGCATGCCTCGAAGAATGTAAACAAGTTCTGAGAACACGTCAGAATCAACTTAACAGCACCTAATCGTTGTTTTTATAAACTCTCTGGTAAATTCAATTAGTAATTTTAGGCTATTTATAGGAAAAGAGCTCCTTCTGCACCTTCTTTTATGTTAGGAAGGACTTTTCCTAAACCAGAAATAATATCTGATTTTTAAAAAAACCTTCAGGGACATGATAACAGTCCCTATCTAAGAACGGACAGAAATGTCCAATTGTACTACTTAGGGCTTTTGGGTACAGAAGTGGTTATTTTTTGGGGTGGAGTCAATTTTAATTTCAAAGCATGGGCAGGACAGAAGTTCTGTGAGATCCGTACAGCTCCTCAATCCCACAATCTTGTTTTGCAGGAACTAAAGAAAAGGGACAGAAGGTGCTGATGGCAGGCATATATAAATGGAAGTGTGTAAGAGAATGGATAGATAATGGATGGAGAGTACTCTCTCTCTCTCTCTCTCTCACACACACACACACACACACAGAGAGAGAGAGAGAGAGAGAGAGAGAGAGAGAGAGAGAGAGAGAGAGAGAGAGAGAGAGAGAGAGAGAGAGAGAGAGAGAGAGAGAGAGAGAGAGAGAGAGAGAGAGAGAGAGAGAGAGAGAGAGAGAGAGACTCAGGTGTTTTTGTCCTGCAATTCTTATTAAAAGTACCCATGGTGAAAGATAATATGATTTGCAGCCCAAAAACATTAGAAGGGCCACAGTTCTCACGCCCACTGTAAACTAAAAACAGAGAAGGACTTCACTTACTTTAATCCTGGCAGATCTTTAACACTTGCTGTGATTTCTGCAGCTTCAGGTACAAACTTCTCTACCAATTCCAGAGGTCCCCAAAATGACTTGTTTTGGCCCAGAAAAGTCTTCTTGGCTAGACAGAAACATTATTATTCATTGTATCTGAACGGGCAACTTCACGCTATTTGAAACCACACAGAATTACAGTGGTGCCTCGCAAGACGATGTTAATTCATTCCGCAAAAAATGCTGTCTTGTGAAAACATCGTCTTGCGAAACGCGGTTCCCCACTGGAATGCACCGAAATCTAATTAATGAGTTCCAATGGGGAAAAATTGTCTTGCGAAAATCGTCCATAGAAAACATCGTCTTGCGAAGCGCCACAGCGATAGCAAAAAACAATCATCTTGCGGATTAATCGTCCTGCGAGGCAAATGTCTTGTGAGGCACCACTTTACACCTTGCTAAGCTGGGTCTTCCTTTTCTTATAAATCATGTAATGGTTTCAGACAAGGAACTCTGCACATAAAAAGCAGGCATAGAGTTCATGCAAGGAAGAAGCCTATAATATTTCCAAAATAATGCTTTGTCCTTTCACTTAGAATTATTCCACAAATGTCAATTAACAGGTAACTTTGCTCCTACAAAATCATTACATACAACCCCACTATATGCCTCTGGGTAATAACTATTTTTTTAAATCTTTAGAAGCGGAGAAATGTTTTCTGGGCGACTTTCTGGGTGCTGCATAGACGTCTTTACACACACCTCTTTTACTTAAATAGTGCAAACTGGCAAGCCACTTGCTATTCTTCCTGGTACTGAATTTGACCTGAGGGGCTCCATGTGGCCTGAAGGGCCCTAAGCGTTGTAGAAGCATCAGCGATGCTGACAAGGAGATGGCCAAAAGGGTAATTCCATCGACAACCTCCTATGAGGGCTCCAAATGTCACTGAGTCCACTGCCCAAGAAGAGAACAGGAGGCTAGGAGTAGACCTAACCAGGAAGTTTGTATCTTGCCGATTCACAGTATTGGTTATTTTAAGGGCGCTTTGCCAAGTGTTCCTCTTTATACTGGTATCACAAAAATCAGCATGGATTGAGGGAATCTGTTGATGGAATGGGGAGAGGGGATCTATATGCAAAAGCCTGTCAATAATAAGATGGAAAAACAACTTGATTCAAATATGATTTGTAAGCTTCAGTGGACCTAAATGATGTAAAGGGAGGATACAAAATTCATTCAGTAAATTCATACTCATAAAGACTGTCTTGTGATAAAGAAATATACCACACTAATTACAACTTAACATTTGGGCACAAATTTCAGACAAAACAGGTCTGTCATCTTCTGAAACCCACCTTTTAAGCCATGTTTAAGGCAGTGTTCCATCACTACAAAAAACTGCTGAAGAGGTGCATAGTCAGAGTCCAGTGTTCTCCCAAGGTTAAGAGCAGATTCAATTAAGCCCTTTATGCTCAGTTTAGCCATATTCATCAGGTTCATACGTTCATTAGCCATGAGATAATTGGGATCTGCAATAAAACACATATACAGAGTTTGATGAGGGAAATTCAGTAACCAACCCTTTTTTTACTCTGCTGCAAGACTGATTGTTTTTAACACGGTGACTGTCATATTTAACCTATGGAAACAGATGGTCAAAGACAGTGTTTGCACATATTAGGGAAAGCTTGAGGGATTTGCTTTTTTATATATAAGGGTTATCGTTGTGGTGGCACTGGCAATCAGGTCAGAGAGATTTATCCATTTACCTGAGTAAACAGGGGAGGACAACATGTTCAAAACGTTTTGGGAAACTTCACAACTATTTCATTTTTTTTTTTCATCTAGGAAACTACACAACCTGACAGGAAAAGGAGGGCTTATGTTTGGAAAGAAAACAATGAAACCTGCAGGTTAATTATGAGGAAGTTTTACTGAGGCTGGTTAGAGAGAAGTTTCCTAAGAGAAAAGTTAGGAATTTTGAAAAGCAGAGATGGTAAATATTTGTATTTCTGCGGGCCACAGTTTTTCATGTAATATTTTGTTTAACTGAGGTATATTTTGTCTTTGTCAACTCTCAAGTAATCTGGGTCCACAATAAAACAGGCAACACCAAGCAGTGAGTTTCACAATTTGTAGACATATTCATTCATTCATTCATTCATTCATTCAATCAATATCCCGCCTATCTGGTCTTACGACCACTCTAGGCGGCTGTGCATTAATCACAGCTCTAATGTGACATATGTAATATAAAATGCGACGTTAATATCTTGTTTTGTAAACTTGTTTTTTTCCATAGCAAAGAAATTAAAAAACCTGTAACTTTTGATCACCTTTGTTAACATGAGGTGGTGATGCAAGGTAATCTATCTGGTGGACCTGGATCCTGCCGGGAAGTCTGTACACCACCCCAGATAGAAAATGCACTTTCTTCCTCATTGTTTAAGTTAATTCTTAATCTGTTACTTTTTTTTTACTAGATCCCAAGTCAGAAATTTTATTTCTTGCTCCATAAATGTAGTAGATTTGTATCTTCTGAGAATGAACATGTTCAGAATGTAATGTCCTCATTTCAATCAATCAGAGCCAAAGCACCCAAATCTGATCATAGCATCTTGTTTTTGTTTTTAAAATCTATTTAACCTCTGACTCAAATCTGTATAACTCTAGAAAGTATCTTAACAGGACACAATAATTTGCATATTTAGGATTAGGTTATGCACCACACAAAACTACAGTACTGCATCAACAATTTAGCTTGAAAAAGATATAGGCACAATTTATCATGTAATTTCACCCCCAAAAAGTGCACTCTTGTTTGGTAAAAAATTTTATACACATTTTTCATCGTCATCTTACCCAAAACAGTCTCCACCTCAAATAATCCTCATTTATCCACATTTCAAGTATCAGAGATTACGCACTTTTGAGAGAGACATGGAAGTTCTTTTTCCTTTGTCTACACAAAGTTGCAGAGGGAAAATCGGTAGTATTACCACTCCAAAAGAATAAGTGGCACTCAAGGAAACTATTGACAGCAATTCTGAAGATTTTGGCAAGAATTCTAAGACTTCCCAACAATATATCACATTGAGAGAGAAACAAGAATTTCCCAGGAATAATTTAAATCAGAGTTGGAAATCAGGGCTGATCTGGCTTGTTATTTCTCACATTCACACAGAGCAGTGAACACGTCTGTCTCTTTCAAAACACAAACTCACTTCCAACACCACAGACTTTTCTGATTTTCAGGCTATCAGAGGAAATAAAACAATCCATACAAAAATCTATGGAATCACATAAAACTGAGGTCCTGCTCAAGAACTGTTGGGTCCTATTTACAAAGTTAATGTCTAGAACGCACATCCCACATCATGGAAGCCTTGCTGGACTTGAATGAATCATCTAGGGCAACCACTGAGGGAGAGAAATAGATTTTTAGAAACATCCTTGATTTCACTGATGAGTGAAATCATGTTAGGCTAAATCAAGAGTTAGCCTTACATCTAACTCTTGAATCTATTCTGCTATCCTAGTAGATCCCTTTCCTTGTTTCCAAAGAAAAGGACATTCTACTCCAGCATAATTTGATTTTTGATTCTTGGTAGCAGCTACGCCCACCATCTCTTTCTACTGTAATTTCACTGTATTGGCCTACGTAATATGACAGAAGAACGCATCAGCCTTGAGTGATCTCCTCCCTTACAAAACTCTATCCTTTGACCCCCATTTTAATCAAAATTGTTTCTGTAAAAAGGGGAGAAGGAAGATGGAAGTCTTCAATACCAAGGAGAAACTGAATTCACAGCCAAGCTCGTATATAATGTACATAAGTGAAAGATATTTGTTACAGTAGAAAGCCTCCAAGCTCATTATCAGGCCTAACCAAGTCTCCTTATATTACTCTATCACAAGTCCACAAGTACAAAAGGTTGCAGTTACTGCAAAATCCGACGCACGTTCCATTCTGTAATGGAAACAAATAAACAAAAAGCTACATATTTCAGCACACGGACAGGAATGTGACTGTCTGGGAAATGAATTCACACAAAGGGGGATGTTTTAAAATGTTACTTTACTTCAAAACATACAATTTTGCTATAATAGAACTGTCTGGTGCTTGTTTTTACATTATGAACCGATCACATTGTCATTGTCCCCACAATTCGCACTGTTCCTTGACTAAGAATCTGTCGTTGTCTTGGTGCTGTAGAGAGAGGCAGACAGAACAGATAAAATGGCCTGCTTAGCTAGGAAGGCAACTGTTGTTGTTGTTTAGTCATTAAGTCGTGTCCGACTGTTCGTGACCCCATGGACCAGAGCACGCAAGGCCCTCCTGTCTTCCACTGCCTCCCAGAGTTGGGTCAAATCCACGTTGGTCGCTTCGATGACCCTGTCCAACCATCTCATCCTCTGTCGTCCCCTTCTCCTCTTGCCTACACACTTTCCCAACATCAAAGGCCAAGATTTGGACTCAAAAATTACATGAGCAACAAGGAATGCAAACTAATCACCATCTCATCTTCCTTAAACAACATCATTTCTTCAGTTTCCAGGGGAAACCAGGCTTTCTTTTTTGTTAACAAAGACGGGTGAAACCACCCAGTCTTCAGCCACCCTTTCACAGAAAAGCTGTGAAATGGATTGGCATGCCCAAAAGCCCTGACAAAGGTTTCAGCCGGTGGAATCACTGTGTATTATTCTGATGAGAATAACACAAAGCCTCACACAAAGTAAGCCCTCTTTCCCACTCACCCACCCACAGGTACGCTACAAAGCAGAAGAAAAGTGCAGAAGTTGTCCAGGCTCTGCGAGAGTTCAGAAAAAGCCTGGCCATTTCTGACTATAAGCCACCCTCACACACACACACACTTCAATGCTTGGGGAGAGAGATGATCATATTTTAATATAAAGAATAGTTGTTTTTTTAATGCAAAC